GGTCACTGATCGGCGAGTCCAAAAAAAGACAACTGATCACCGATCTGATCAGAAAATGGGCCAATTGATCCAATACCTGTAAGCAACTTGTTTATAAAACACTAAAACACTGATAACGCTGATAAATATTAAATACACAGACATGCCTCCCCCGATTTTTTTTTTTTTTTTGGATCCAACTGTGTATGCTGAGAAACCTTGGGCTATTAACAGTGGCAGCAAAGAACGGCGTCCCAGTGTTTGCTGGAATGCCCTATTGGGATCAATTGGCAAATGTTGACATTCCAACCAATCACGGCATTTACATAAAATGCAAAATATCTGCTGTACTGAAATTATGGAGCCCCATCTAATGCTGATCAATTCATTGCGGGCTTGGATGTTTTTTTTTTTCTTAATGGATTAATTTGTGGAGCTGTCTTAGTAGCTTTGATGCCAAAGTGTTGTGTTCCAGTCATGCTGTGTTTTCTTGTATCCTACCTCAGAAGTTACACATATGACTCATTCCAAGTTTGAGAGCAATTAGCAGTAAGAGGCAGCTTTAACAGTGCGTGCAACAGTCACCATTGTTAAAACTGCCCGTCTATTGGACGTCAAACATAATTGGTGACAGCAACACAAAGGTGCCCACAAAGCCATCAAACAGAGAAGACAAACACAAATGATTATTCAAACTCAAAAATTATAACGTTTTCCCAGTCTCTCAATTTATGTCAAGTAGTCTGTTGAAAAACTAAGTTCGTGTCATGTTAGCTTTTGTGGCATCAATACTCAATACGATTTTCCAGTTGGCAGCCATGATAACTGTCGAGTTATTTGTCTGAGGGAGAAAAACTGCTTCAAAACTTGAAATGAAAATAAAATGAGGAGTGAAGTGAGCACACCCTGCTGCACTCACTTGTGGGATTTCTTCCAGTCGGCCCCACCGGGTCCGGCTCCGCAGTCGTAGGCTTGGATCATGAATGTGTATTCCTTCTGGTTCTCGCAGTCCACAGGACCCCTGGCTCTCAGTAGGCCTTCTCCTGAGCTGCGATTCAACACCACCGCCTCGAACGGAACGTCCTGGCCAGAAATCTTAAAGGCACAAATTTCTCCTACAAAGAGAAAGAAAGACATTTACGGAACAACTCTCTAATCTGCAAGCATGAAGTCACCGCAGCAGTCTGTTTTCGGTGAGGGATTGGTCAGGGATGAGTCATGACCTGCCACTCGGCGTGCCTACTTTTGCTATGATCCACTTCAATCAGACAATACATTGAGCCAAGCTGAGAAATGTGAGGATATCGTTTCCTTGAACTTTGGCTCCCATATCTAATCTGCTCAAGTCCATCGGTAGCACAGAAGAAGAAGTGCCCCCCAAGCGGCGCTTAGAGTTCCCATAGAAAGGGGGAAGATGATTACTCGTGGGTCAAGGCCATCGACGATATACAAGAAAGGGGTCGAGTTTATGAGATAGAAGATATGCAAGTAAAAAGATGAAGAAAGAACATTTTATTTTGCTGGACATTTCAAAAGATGTACATGGATTAGAAGACCTCCAGTAGTATATACTCCAAACCGCTTTGCCGCCTCACAGAACTGTACAAATATCTCTCATAATATTTCCTCACAAAAAATGAATGCAAATGGAATTCATCAATTCCAGGCCCTCCCCAAAAGGAACCCAACAACAATTTTGGTAATGCACGTTTAATAAGGGAAGGGAAACAAACAAACAGGAATTGGCAACTTAAAAAAAAATCCAAACCTACCTGTCCCTAGGTGAAAAAGTAATTGCCACCTGAACCTATTAATGGCTTGTGCCACCCTTGGCAGCAGTAACTGAACTCAAGCGTTTGCAGTAATTGGAGATGAGTCTTTCACATCACTGTGGAGGAATTTTGGCCCACACAGAATTACTTCATCACCACCATATTGGAGTGTTTTCTCGCATGAACTGCCCTTATGAGGTCATACCACAGCATCTCAATTGGATTCAAATCCCAACAGTAGCCCTGTTCACACGGCACACATTTGGTCCGACGCTGCACCGAAATATTTTGTTGCGATGTATTTTACACCGGAGCAAATTTTGTGGAGCGGTCACACGTGCAAAGCCGCTGAGCGTGACAACTCCGGCGCAGCGTCGAAGCAGCTCCACTTGCGGTCACACGTGCAATTTCTGCTCCGGACCAAAACGACAGGAATGCAGAATTATAACAGGTTCGGGTCGGGCTTCTCTCTCGCGGACTTTTATTTATTTTTCTTTTAATAAATATTATGGCGGACACTATTCTGTCCTTGTTCAGAATAGATCCTCTTGTCGGCAGTCGTGGAATAAAGACGTGTTTACAGTCAATCGTGTGTGCTCCTTATGACTGCCACAATATATGTTTTAAAAAATGTATACTAAAACAATGTGCGGATACTAAACTAAGGAATACTTGTTTTAAAACAAACAATTTGGATAAAACAGAGAATGCGATGTAATTTAATTGCTATTTAACTGCTAAACAGGAGC